GTTGGCAAAGAACTGCTTCCCCCTCCTGAGGCGCCGGACAGTTTGCCAGAACCTCTTCGAGGCCAACCGATAGTCATGCTCCATGGACTCTCCAAACTCCTCCCAGTCCCGGGTTTTTGCCTCTGCAACAGCCCGGGCCGCGGCACGTTTGGCCTGCCGGTACTGGACAGCTGCCTCAGGAGTCCCACGAACCATCATTGCTCGATAGGACTCCTTCTTCAGCCTGACGGCATCCCTTACTGCCGGTGTCCACCACCGGGTTCGGGGATTGCCGCCGGGACCAGCACCAGAGACCTTGCGACCACAGCTACGAGCCGCCGCATTGGCGATAGAGGAAGAGAACATGGTCCACTCGGACTCGATGTCCCCCTCCTCTGTCGGGACCTGGGAGAAGCTCTCCCGGAGGTGTGAGTTGAAAGTCCGTCTGACAGGGGGCTCACCAAGACGTTCCCAGCAAACCCTCACTACACGCTTGGGCCTGCCAGGTCTGACCGGCCTCCTGCCCTGCCAGCGGATCCAACTCACGACCAGGTGATGATCGGTTGACAGCTCCGCCCCTCTCTTCACCCGAGTGTCCGAGACACGCGGTCGAAGGTCAGATGATACGACTACAAAGTCGATCATCGACCTCCGGCCTAGGGTGTCCTGGTGCCACGTGCACTGATGGACACCCTTGTGCTCGAACATGGTGTTCGTGATGGACAGGCCGTGACTGGCACAGAAGTCCAACAACTGAACACCGCTCGGGTTCAGATCAGGGGGGCCGCTCTTCCCGATCACCCCTCTCCAAGTGTCACTGGCATTTCCCACATGGGCGTTGAAGTCCCCCAGGAGAATAACGGAGTCCCCGGGCGGTGCACTGTCCAGTACCCCTCCCAAGGACTCCAAGAAGGCCGGGTACTCTGCACTACCGTTAGGCCCGTAGGCCGTCACAACAGTGAGAGACTTGTCCCCCACCCGGAGACGGAGGGACGCGACCCTCTCATTCACCGGGGAGAACTCCAACACGTGGCGGCTGAGATGGGGGGCAATGAGTATGGCCACCCCAGCTCGCCGCCTCTCCCCGCGGGAAACACCAGAAAAGTGGAGCGTCCAACCCCTCTCAAGGAGTTGGGTTCCAGAGCCCAAGCTGTGTGTGGAGGTGAGGCCGACTATCTCTAGTCGGTATCGCTCAACCTCCCCCACAAGCTCGGGCTCCTTCCCCCCCAGTGAGGTGACGTTCCACGTCCCAAGAGCCAGCTGTTGTGTGTGCGGACTGGGTCGTCGAGGTCTCCGCCTTCGACTGCTGCCCAGTCCTCTCTGCACCTCGCCACCACGGACCCCTCTGCAGGTGGTGAGCCCACAGGAGGGACTGCCCACGTCATCCCTTCGGGCTGAGCCCGGCCGGGCCCCGTGGGCTAAGGCCCGGCCACCAGGCGCTCGCTTGCGAGCCCCGACCCCAGGCCTGGCTCCAGGGTGGGGCCCCGGCTGCGCCATGCCGGGCGACGTCACGGTTTTTGTTGTCGTGCTGTCCATATATATATATAGAGAGATATCAATATATTGATATTGAAGCATTTACCTCTAGCTAAGAAACATAGCAGCTATATATCATATAGCTTATATTCTGTGTGCTCTTACTGTCCTGTATGTGCGCTGCAACATTGAAATTTCCCCACTGCGGGAGGAATAAAGATCTCTCATCTTACAGTGCCTTGCGAAAGTATTCGGCCCCCTTGAACCTTTCAACATTTCACCACATTTCAGGCTTCAAACATAAAGATATAAAAAATATTTTTTTTGTCAAGAATCAACAACAAGTGGGACACAATCATGAAGTGGAACGAAATTTATTGGATAATTTAAACTTTTTTAACAAATAAAAAACTGAAAAGTGGGGCGTGCAATATTATTCGGCCCCCGTTGCGCTAATACTTTGAAGCGCCACCTTTTGCTGCAATTACAGCTGCAAGTCGCTTGGGGTATGTCTCTATCAGTTTTGCACATCGAGAGACTGGAATTCTTGCCCATTCTTCCTTGCAAAACAGCTCGAGCTCAGTGAGGTTGGATGGAGAGCGTTTGTGAACAGCAGTCTTCAGCTCTTTCCACAGATTCTCGATTGGATTCAGGTCTGGACTTTGACTTGGCCATTCTAACACCTGGATACGTCTATTTGTGAACCATTCCATTGTAGATTTGGCTTTATGTTTTGGATCATTGTCCTGTTGGAAGATAAATCTCCGTCCCAGTCTCAGGTCTTTTGCAGACTCCAACAGGTTTTCTTCCAGAATGGTCCTGTTTTTGGCTCCATCCATCTTCCCATCAATTTTAGCCATCTTCCCTGTCCCTGCTGAAGAAAAGCAGGCCCAAAGCATGATGCTGCCACCACCATGTTTGACAGTGGGGATGGTGTGTTCAGGGTGATGAGCTGTGTTGCTTTTACGCCAAACATATCGTTTTGCATTGTGGCCAAAAAGTTCGATTTTGGTTTCATCTGACCAGAGCACCTTCTTCCACATGTTTGGGCTGTCTCCCAGGTGGCTTGTGGCAAACTTTAAACAAGACTTTTTATGGATATCTTTGAGAAATGGCTTTCTTCTTGCCACTCTTCCATAAAGGCCAGATTTGTGCAGTGCACGACTGATTGTTGTCCTGTGAACAGACTCTCCCACCTCAGCTGTAGTTATCTGCAGTTCATCCAGAGTGATCATGGGCCTCTTGGCTGCATCTCTGATCAGTCTTCTCCTTGTTTGAGATGAAAGTTTGGAGGGACGGCCGGGTCTTGGTAGATTTGCAGTGGTCTGATACTCCTTCCATTTCAATATAATTGCTTGCACAGTGCTCCTTGAGATGTTTAAAGCTTGGGAAATCTTTTTGTATCCAAATCCGGTTTTAAACTTCTCCACAACAGTATCTCGGACCTGCCTGGTGTGTTCCTTTGTCTTCATGTCATGTTTGCCTTCAAAGGGGGGACAAAGTTTAAATTATCCAATACATTTCGTTCCACTTCACGATTGTGTCCCACTTGTTGTTGATTCATGACAAAAAATTTAAATTTTATATCTTTGTGTTTGAAGCCTGAAATGTGGCGAAATGTTGAAAGGTTCAAGGGGGCCGAATACTTTCACAAGGCACTGTATCTGGAATTCCAGTTAATTAGTCATCAGTACAGGACTCAGGTTTGGAGCAAGACCACTCTTACTGTACTAACAATGGCAGTAAAAAACATAATTCAGAGACAGAGACACATGCAGGCGGGAAACTGGGCTTTGGACTCTCCGCTCTTTCATGTGTTCTACCTGTGTGTTTTTTCCCCTCAATTTCCAGGTCTGGGGCTGTTCTTGCTGCTCATAGCGGTTCATAGAAATTGTGAATTCCTCTTTTTCCCTCTGATCTCGTGCCATGTGATGTGTGAGAGGAAAGAGATTTGAACGAGGAGGCTGAAGACACACGCAGACGTACACTGTGCGAAGAGGACGTCTGTCGCGGATCTCGGGACTTTGAATGGACCTAGAATAGTCCGGTTTTGGTTTTTGGATTAGACAGGGCGAGTCAAAGTAAAAATAAAACTCAGGTGCAGTCAGTGTGTACTGGAAATGGGCTTAAAGGTACTCTGTGTAATTTTTCCAGATGCTCCAAATGAAGAAACATGTCAACCAATAACAAATGTGACCTTTTTAAGAAAATTTACCACGATCATGTTTTTGAATTGTTTTCTTATAGGCTTAGATATGACTTAAAAATGTCCATGAGGCTGAGGGCTCTCCATGTGAATGCGCCATCTTGAAATACATTGGCTGATAAGGGACAAAAAGGGGTTGGACCTGGAGTTGGGCACGACATATTGTCCTGAGAATCTACCGTACAGTAAATTACAATATGTAATCTCAATGCTAGATGGGAGCAAAAAACGACACATCGTACCTTTTAATGCTGCGCCTTCAACAACACGCTTCATATTCACTTTGAGAATGAAATACTAAATTCTATCTATCTCAAGTCCGTCTTATCTAATCCTATTGAAACATGTTCAAGAACGATATCAAAGCAACAACAGTGAAAAATCGTATGAAATTAATGATTAGAAAAAATGCTAAAATAACTATATTAATAAAGAAAATAATCATAATTTTGAACAAAATTAACAAAAATAAACAGTTTGAAGGAGGAGAGCTGAAGTCCATAGTTTTTTTTTTTAAATCTAATTTGTACATATTTTAAGAAAGATATGTTTTATAAATTAATTTGAAACAATCGGAATAAATCAGGTCACAGTTGGTCATATGTTTCCGGTGTTGTAATTTCACCATTCACAAAATAACAATGATTTGACTCATAATTGAAACCACTCTTAATCACACTTAGAATAATTAGTATACTCTCAAAAATAACCAAATGACCGGAAATGTTTTATGACACAGAAGGTTTTCAAGTAAAGCCCATTCTTCCATGTTGGACTCATTATTTCATTGTGTTTGTGGGTATGACACACAAAGAGAGTTTCCATAGCAACTACATGGTAAACAGAGGCCAAAGCTCAATTGCACATTACATTTATACAATAGTTATGAAATGACTGAAATTATCTTGAACCTTTAAACGGTCAGATTACTGCTTTTCTCCTGTATTAATTGTGTTTCTATGTGATGACATCATAGGTGGAGGAATTCTATCTATTTTAGAACTCAGCTTTACCTATTGATTCTTAAACCTTTTGTCCCCAAGGTTTTTCTCTCTTTTTCCCAACTATTTCTTATTGAGTTGTTCCCTGTCGATGCAGGAGGATCTAAGTACAGTGATGATCCGGGACATTTAAAGACATTTAAGGACATTTATGATCATCCCACTCTATGGGCCAATGGCTCTTATGTGTTAGGGTTAGGGTAGTAGTAGCAGTAGTAGCAGCAGCAGCAGCAGTAGTAGCAGTAGTAGCAGTAGTAGCAGCAGTAGCAGCAGTAGTAGCAGTAGTAGCAGCAGCAGTAGCAGTAGTAGTAACAGTAGCAGTGTTGTTGAGTGAGTACCTGGTGGAAGATGAGGGCCTGGCTGATGTAGCCCCAGCTGGAGGTGGGGCTGAGGTAGTGGATGAGCAGCAGCAGCAGCAGCATGAAGGCGATGCTGGCCGAGGCGTAGATGGGGTTGATCAGGAACATCATGACGGCGCAGCCCACAATGCCCAGGACGCAAGTGTGCCACGTGAAGTACCGGAACGTGGGTCTACAGGTGAGAAGGGAGGAGAGAAGAGAGTCAGAGGGAGGCACAACACACAGCAAAAAGTTTCGCATAAATGTATCTTAATTAACATAAATTCTGTCAGCCTTAAAAACAAGATTTGCCAATGGGACAAAGCACAATTATCTAAAAGAAGAAATGTCTTCCTTGGAATGAGAAAACAAATAAAAGTAAAACAAATAAATGCCTTTGTCAGAAAACAAACTCTTGATTTAAGCAATTATTACCTCAAATGTTTAATTTTTTGCAGTGAAAGCTGAATGGAGAGATAGCCTGGCTAACCCTGCCTCAGGTCTTTCTCTTAAACTCATTAGTTTATCTCTGATTCTGCCTCTTGAACCGCTTTATAATTGATGTCTCTCACAATTATCAACCTTGTTTAGCAGTTTTGCACAAAGTCTATGCCCTGATGAAGACCTAATTGGTTAAAACGCGTTAATGTCCCTGGATAATAAAGGATTTTTACTTTAAAGTCGGTTTTGCCTCAGACCTTTTAAAATTTTTGCATTTTGAGGAGCACCATACTCTTATACCCAACCCACAGCAGCTCCCACTACCTTACTTTGTTTTACTGCCGTCACATTGTGTGCACCATGTGCACTTGTATATTGTATATAGTAATTGTAATATTCTATTTCAAATTCATTCTGCAGAAGTGCTTTTTATTTTATTTTTTATGCCTTTTATGCGTTTTACCTCTCTCTCTGACTGTTGCACTGAGCCAAAGCAAGTCTGTGACTTCCTGTTACTTACGCGGCAATAAAAATGATTCTGATTCTGATATTTGTGTGTGACTAAAGTTGAGATTGTGAGGTTTTGATTTTTTGTGAGAACGCATCACAAGATCAATATTTTAACTTCAAATGTTGAATCTGTTAGAAAATGATCAATGATTGCCTGATATAGTGACAATATCACACACAAAAGATCAACTTGCTTGTATTGTGAGAACTTGCTCTAAAATCACAGCAGGAAATCTCAGAGACCTTCACTCTTTGTGGGAGGAACAGGTGCTGAATTCAGAATGTATTCTGGCTCAGCCCAAACATCCTCTGATCGCTGACTTTGTAATGATGCCTTCAGGGCGTCGTTTTCATGCTCCAGCACGGAAAACAAACCGTTTTTCCAATTCTTTTGTGCCCTCTGCCATAAAACTGTTGAACTCTGGTTTTTGACTTTTGGGAATTGTGTTGTTCAGTGTTGTTTTTGTAACTTATATTGTGTAACCTGCTGCGGTGTGAACTGTGAGACTCACTGTGTGTTTGTGTAGAGTATGTGTGTTCTGCTTTGAGATTATGCTGCAAATAAATTGACCTGAATCTGAATCAACCTTCTGCATACAGCTCCCTGATATTACTGTGTCTGAAATATTCCCCAGTGCGGCATTTCACTTCATCAACAACAGGCAAGCAGGTGAAATAATAGAAAAGAATGTTTTTTTCCCCCCCAATATAATTATTCAGCAATAACAATGTCTGTGGAGCAAATACAAGAGAGAAAATGTCAGACTGTGTAATACATCAGGCAAAGCAATTTCATCCCCATGACGATGAGCGAGTGGCAGACCGCCCACAGAAAAGTTTCAAAATGCACCTTCAAGAGTAACTGAGAACAGTGAATCATCTTTTTTTATTGAAGAAAAATAAAAAGTTACAAGAAAATACAAGATATAAAAGTTGGTCAAGGACAATCAGGTGTAAAAACGGAGCTGGATTGATATTGGGGACTGGGGGAGATCAAACTGAACTTCCAAAGTATGTGTGTTACTTTTTATTTAGTTGTTTGCGATTCCTAAAATAAAATCTGCAAAGAGGCGGAACAATACTCACAGAAATCTATAGTCATTAAAAAGAGATATTTGGTAATTGTTTTAATTCCTGCCTTTACTACCTTGTCTCAGAGCTTGTAGAAATAGAAAATGGTTTGCTAGGATCTATGCAACATTTTAAATTTGCGTTTAGGGATGCACCACAATGGTGTAGGTTTGGTTCCAATCTTGGTGGGGACATTCACTACGACCTGAGTCTACACCCATTGACACGGGGTCCAGAGTTTCTCCCCCAGAATTTGTTGTGTAATCACACACTATATTTGCAATAGTGTGTTGCCTTCTATACTAAACTCAGCTGTAGACTGAATGAGAAGCAGTTAAGGATGTTTTCTAATAGTTGCTCTCGATACTTGAAATAAATCATGCTCTGATCTTTCAATTTCCTATAATAAATAAAAACAGAGGAGAAAATATTGAATTAGAATCTACAGTGAGTAGCTCACTACATTGTTTGACATATACGATCAATCTCTAAAAACAATTCATAGTCCCATGCATACCTACAAAATTCCAACCTCACCTGATGCACTGAAGGGCCTGTTGCTTCTACCTCAACATTCCCTATATTGTTCTCTCTTGTTGGTTGAGTTTCCTATGTATGTTAACAGAAGATTAATAATCACAATTCATAATTTGCTATTACTTGTGCTTTCTCTTACTTACTTTCCAACTGTTAAAAAAGCTCCTGATATCTTTTATCTTTTTTTGTGGAGGTGGCATTTTTTCTAAATTATATAAGAAGGTATAGACAATCAAAAACAGACATTCATATACATGAACTGCAGAATCATTTATATAACTTGGCCAATGTCAAAAGTTACATAGTATTTCTCAATACAATGAGTTAACAAGAGTTTGGCAATAAGTAACAGTGTGGATTTTTCTATATTTTCTTTTTTTTTATTCCACTCTGTTACACCCCGGCTCATGGAGGGCAACATAAAGGACAAACACTAGTAAAACGTAACAGGATTTATTAACAAAACCAAAAAGGGGTATGAAACAACACAAAACAAAAGGAAGTAAATGTGTGGAGATGAGGGCTGCTGCTGCCAGGCTGAGAGAGAGAGAGGGAGGAGCCAAGGCAGCCATTTTAAGGACTCCAGTGACTCCAATCAGAGTGGGCTGGAAAACCTGGAACTTTGAGCAGAGTCTTAGTTTCCCATAACACTTCCCCCCATAAGCAAGTTGGTGCCAACCAACATGCCATAATGTGGAACTCACGACCTTGAGAGGGCGTCAGCCAAGACGTTGTCGCGTCCTCTGATGTGTCGGATGTCCAGAGTGAACGCCTGCAGGAACAGGCTCCATCTCATGAGCCTCTGGTTGGTGTTCTTCATGCGACTCAGGGCGACCAAAGGATTGTGATCAGTGTAGACGACAACAGGATGGCTGGAAGAAACATACACTTCAAAATGCTCGAGGGCCAGGATTAACGCTAGAGCCTCCTTTTCTATTGTAGAGTACCGACACTGGTGGACATTAAACTTCCTTGAGAAGTAGCAGACAGGGTGCTCCACCCCGGATCTATCCTGAAGGAGGACAGCGCCGGCCCCAAAATCACTGGCATCCACTGCAACTTTAAAGGGCTGGTCAAAATCAGGAGCTATTAGAACTGGAGCGCTAGCCAGCAGAGCTTTCAACATTTCGAAGGCCATTTGACAGGTTTCCGACCAGGCAAATATGACTTTGGGGCTGAGCAGGTTTGTTAAAGGAGTAGCAACAATTGCAAAATTCCTGCAAAAACTCCTATAGTACCCTGCCATGCCAAGAAAACGCTTCAGGTCTTTTCTTGAGGTAGGAACAGGATACTGTGTGATGGCCTCAATTTTAGCCCCGACTGGGCACACCATTCCGCATCCCACAATTTTTCCCAAATAAGTCACCGTAGCTTGTCCAAATTCACATTTAGCCAGGTTCAATGTTAGATTGGCCGCTACGAGACGGGAAAAAACAGTGTCCAGTTGTGAGATGTGATCCTGCCAAGATGAGCTGTGAAGAACCACATCATCCAAGTAGGCTTCACAGTCCTTAACACCCTTCAGCACCGTGTTAACGAGGCGCTGAAAAGTGGCCGGAGCATTCCGCTTTCCAAAAGCCATGACATTGTACATTGACAGAAATCATCAGGAGTGACAAACGCAGAAATCTCACACGCTCTCTGGGTCAAAGGTACTTGCCAATATCCTTTTAAAAGATCCAGCTTTGTCATGAACCTGGCAGATCCCACCCGATCAATACAGTCGTCTAAGCGGGGTAGAGGGAAACAGTCCGGCTTAGTTACTGCATTCACTTTTCTAAAGTCCGTACAGAACCGAGGAGACTTGTCAGGTTTATCCACAAGTAAACATGGGGAACTCCACGAGCTTGAACTGGGCTGAGCTATACCATGCTGCAACATGTACTTTACCTCTTTTTGCATCACCTGCCGTTTCTCAGGGTTCACTCTATAAGGGTGTTGTTTAATAGGAGCAGCGTCTCCTACATCGATGTCATGGTACAACACACTCGTACAGGTGGGTACATCAGAGAATAGCTCAGGGTGCCGGTGGATGACGACCATAATTTCAGCACGCTTGCCTCCATCTAGATATGAAAGATGAGCAGGCAGGTTTGACAAAAGCTCAGAGTTGGGCAACCTTCTCTCTGGAACCGTTTGTACTCTCAGACACGTGTTGTCCTCAGGCTCTGGTACTGGGGCACTCAGCACAGCCACAGGTTTCGGGGTAGAAGCAACCTTGTCTCTGTCAAAATAAGGCTTGAGAAGGTTAATGTGACACATGCGCACTTTCCTCCTCCGGTCGGGAGTTTTGACGAGGAAATTGGTCTCATTTAACCTGCTCTCAACAACAAAGGGCCCACTGTACTGAGCCTGCAAGGTGGAACCAGGGAGAGGCAACAGAACGAGCACTCTGTCCCCAGGCTGGAACGCTCTAGCTTTAGATTTTTTATCAAATCTAAGTTTCATTTTTCCCTGAGCCTCCTCCAAGTTTGCTTGGGCAAGTTCACACGCTCTCTGTAACTTGAACTTGAACTGACTGACAAAGTGGAGGAGATTAGAGGGGCAAGAGGCTCCCTCATCCAGCCATCTCT